CTGTTCCTGTGCTGTAATTTTCTTTGTTCTTTGAAAGTTGACATTTCAGGTCGGGACCTTTCTTCAGAAATGGGGCTCGGTTAGCTCAGTTGGCTGGATGGTTGGTTTGCAACACAGGGTGACACCAACGGTGTGGTTTCAGTTCCCTCACTGGCTGAGGTTACCCTGAAGGACTCTCCTCCTCACCCTCTCCCCTTGCCTGAGGCATGATGACCCTTAAGTTAAACCACCCCCAATCATCTTTCTCTCTCATGAGAGAGCAGCCCCATGGTCCAGCAGGACTGTGGTAATTTCATCTTTCATCAAAAACCCTTCATTTCACACAATTAAACTGGCAGCCAGCAAAGGTTCCAATTACAATAACTCTGGGATGAAGGTTAACGATTCTGGTTAATTTTTAAAAAGGATATAGAGGCACCTGACTCAGAGAACCTGACAGTACTGGACAGTACAGAAGGTATAACTCTCAGGACGGAGTTAACAGACTCTGCTTCTTTACAGTGGGACAAGGAGGTTGAGAAATGATCTAATAAAGGTCTTTAAAAGGAAAATAATACATGGGGCTGATGTGGGGAAGAGGTCTTCACTTATAGAAAAGATCACAAATCTAAGATAGTCCCAACAAATGCAGTTGGGAATTCAGAAGTTTACCCAGAGAGTGGGGAGAATGTGGAACTCGTTCCAATAAGAAGGGTCTGTGGTGACTAACAGTGATATATTTAACAGGAAGCTGGCTAACCACCTGAGGGATAAAGGAATTTGAGGATATTGAGATGAGGAGGGATATGAGGAAGCGTGGGAGGGAGAATGCGTGGAACATTAACACCAGCACAGAGCTAATGGGGTCGAATGGCTTGTTACAGAGCTGTAAAATTCTATGTTCGTCATCTATTTATGGCCAGCTCCACAGACATTAGTGATGGCACTACACAACTGAAAAATCATTTTAACAAAACAAGATACTCTGTGGAAATAGTTGTGTCCCATCTGGCTCCTCGGTGCTCTCAGCTCACAGCAGATATCAGAAAGGCCAGAAACAGAGAAGACGGGTGCCTGTAGGTCTCGAATAAAAACAATGCCCTTATATGTAAACATGGGCTTATCGCTATCACAGCGTCAGGGAAGGTAGTGCTGTCAGTGTGTGATTACAACCAGAACAAGCTGAGTCAACAGTGGCACTAATAAACCAATCCTCCTCAGAAGTGTGTCGTAAAACGATAAGCAGCTGTCACAGGAGATGCAGAACATCTGAAATAAAACAGTAAGTGCTGGAGAGACTCAGCACATCAGACAGCCTCTGTGAGGAGCGAGAAAATCAGAGGGAGCCTTTCCATTGATAGGTTGTAGACTGGAAATGTTAAGCTCCTCTCTTTCCTGCTGCATCACCTATATTCACAGAATCCCTACATTGTGGAAACAGGCCCTTCAGCCCACTGATTCTACACTGACCCTCTGAAGAGCACTGCAACCAGAAACACCCTATCCCTGTACTTCCCATGGCTAATTCACCTAACCCACACATCCCTGAACACTACAGGGCAATTTAGCATGGCCAATCCACCCTAAGCTACACATCTTTGGACCGTGGGAGGAAACCGGAGCACCCGGAAGAAACCCACGCAGACACGGGGAGAATGTGCAAACTCCACACAGACAGTTGTCCAAGGCTGGAATTGAACCTAGGTCCCTAGCACTGCAACGCAGCAGTGCTAACCACTGTGCCACACCCACTGCCTGAGCATTTCCAACATTTTCTGCTTTGAACACACCTGTTATTGGTGAGAACACAAATGCTGTTGAAACAGATCAAAGTCTGAACTTATAGCTTGTGGCTTATTGCAAGAGGAATGGGATATAAAAATACCAGCCCTGCAGGCCAGTGAGATGGTATCTGGAGCACAGTGTCTAGTTTTACATTCTCCTCATTTAATAATGTAAGAAATGGTTCAGAGAAGTGTGCTGCTGGGATAGGGTGGGTTAATTTACAAGGACAGGCTGATCTTGTATCCATTGGAGAATGAGAGGGAATCTTACTGAAACTTATGGGATCTGGAGGGGATTTGACAGAGTGGGAGCTGAGAGGTTGTTTCCCACTGTGGGAGAGAGCAGAACAAGGTGGGGGGCCATGGTTTAAAATTAAAGGGTCCCGCATTCAGGACGGAAATTAGGAGATGTCTGTTCTCAGAGAGCTATGAGTCTGTGGAACTCACTTCCCCAGTGAGCAGTGATGGTGGGGTCTTTGAATATTTTTAAGAAATCAGCCATTCTCCAACTGAATGGTGGAGTAGGCTCAATGGGGCCGAATGGCCTCCTGCTCCTGTCTTCAATATTTCTAATGTAGAGGTCAAAGGTCAGGATTTCCCAAAGTGGGAGATGCAACAGCAACTGAAATTTTGAGTTATTTTTAAATTCATTCTTGGGATGTGGGTATCGCTAGCTGGGCCTGGCATTTATTGGCCGTCCCTAGTTGCCCCCTGGAGGTGGTGGCGAGATGCCTTCTTGAGCCGCTGCAGTTGGTGTGGTGTAGATATACCAGCAATGCCGTTAGGAAGGGAGATCCAGGATTCTGACCTAGTGGCATATAGTACATGGCGAGGGTAGAGGCAGGAATGGCGGTTATGGAGCTTCAATTACTGTAGGATAGCATTAACCCTTCGCACTCTGTTACACTCTGAGTTCTGAGGAAGGGTCACTGGACCCGAAATGTTAACTCTGTTTTCTCCTCCACAGATGCTGCCAGACCTGCTGAGCTTTTCCAGCAACTTTGTTTTTGCACTCTGTTACAAACTGGGTGTGGAGTGAAAAGCACTCACCCTCCAGGGATGGCCCCTACAGCTGTAGGAGTGGCAGACTTTCCATGTTATTCTTTAAAAAAAAGAATCCATCATAACCCCCTCCATTCCACACCTCCCATTCCTACGATCATCCTGCTTCCAACTCTGACTCATTCTCCCGACTCCCCCACCATTTATATTGGCCTACAGTATGGCGGGGACAGGTCTGTCACTGTGTAACACTGGGGCACAGTACTGGGTGGGGACAGGTCTGTCACTGTATAACACTGGGGTACAGTACCGGTGGGGACAGGTCTGTCACTGTATAACACTGGGGTACAGTACCGGTGGGGGACAGGTCTGTCACTGTATAACACTGGGGGACAGTACCGGAGGGGGACAGGTCTGTCACTGTATATCCCTGGGGTAATGCCGTGCCTGTGAGTTGAGTATCAGTGAGGTGAGTGTATCTGTTTTGGATCAGAGATGAGCAACATCACTTACCATACACCCAGGCTATTGCAATACATTCAAAGAATGCCACCCAGAGAAGGCACATGCCGCTGGCTGCATAGTAGTCAAACAGCTGGAACACATACAACCCACCCTGTTATGGGAGAGAAAACATCAGTGTCACACAAAATAAAGGGAATAAGACTCCCAGTTCATCCCTCCCTGTCTCCATCCTTCCCTGTCTCCATCCCTCCCTGTCTCCAATCCTTCCCTGTCTCCATCCCTCCCTGTCTCCATCCTTCCCTGTCTCCATCCCTCCCTGTCTCCATCCCTCCCTGTCTCCATCC